TAGAAGAAGTCATTTTTAGTGAATTTCCAAGTAAAACATGTGTAAATTCTATTAATTAAAAGTGCCAATACTATAAAACATATAAGATTATATTGGAAACCTGTCACGAATGTTCTTTTATATCTTGTAAATTTAACAAGTTTAGAAATTTCTTTAGAACATAACATGAAATGGGAAGTTTGGAAATTGTTTCTTTACCTCTTTTAGAAACCTTAAAAACTTGTAAAGTTTTACCTAAAATTGTAATTTGTTTGATTAAGAGTACGGAAGGTCATATTACCGAATTAAGTATAGTAATTATTATCACATTAATAGAAAACTTACTAATACAATTTGTAAAAATTGTCCAAAAATCAAATATTTTAAGATAACCATTGACGATAAAGATGAGGCAACTTATTATGATTTGGAGAAAATATTGATTAGATGTCAATATTTAGAAGTTTATATATTTAAGGAGATTATATTGATATTGATTTACTTTCGAAAATATTGAATAAATCATCACCAATGGGTTTATTCAAATTTAAATTTTCTTTATATAAATGTAAATTAGATCGAATTGGACAAAAAATCCTATATTATTAGAAATAAATACTTATTTGATGGATATATCAGATTACCCGAATTTGGATCAATTGATTGATCTAATTAAAATGTATGGACCGAAAGTAATAAAGCATTATAAAATTGTCAAGGAACATGAAAAAGATTTAGATAATGATTTTATATGGAATATAGGTACTAATCCAGTTACTAATGTGAATATTTGAAATGAACTTTTTATTTTTTATTTTTTATTATTGTTATTATAAAATTTGATAATGAAAAAATAAAAATAATAGAAATTGCATATAGTATGTATTATTTATTATAAAGTATGTATTTATCTTTATATTTTGATAAAATCAATCTTTAAAATTAAATATTATAAATTATTTAAGTATAAAATTTATATAATGTAAAACATAAGTATGCATAGTGTTAATATTATTAATAAGCTAAAATTTCTTAATAATATTGCTAATTTGCCCCCGGGTTAAATAATCTGGGTTAAATCACCCCTAAAAATTTATATTTTACGTGATTTTTTGCCATCAAACTTTTTAAATTTAAACACAATAACTCACCAAATGTACCAAATATGATAAATAAATTCTTATTGATTTTATTATAGATTTCTTGTGTAAGGAAAACCTTGGCCTTACTTGATGATAAAAATAATATTAGAAAAATATATCAATGGAATTGATAAATACAGAAAACCTGGATCTTGATGGTAATAATCTAGAAATAAAGAGAAAGGTTATCCTATGATCACTCAGATAAATGAGTTATTGAATTACTAGGCTGATATCAGAACGCTCATCCACGCTTACTCAGGCACATATACCAGATTTCATCTAAACTCACAAAGAATCCCGACAAATAAGCATAAGCAAATTTGGAAAACCTTAGACATATACATACGTGAGCAGACCCATGAACTAAATCGTAAAAAAGCCTTCATTGCAATTAAAGCTCAAACTTTTTAAATTTAAACACAATAACTCACCAAATGTA